CTCCTCATCTGTATCACTCTGACCGCCAGTGACCACACTGTGCCCCCCCCAGTGCCTCTCAGGTCTAGGCTCCAAACCCTCCCCCAGGCTCCCTGGGGTTGGACAGCAGGCGCCTGTGCACACTGCAGGCTGACAGAGCCCTGGCCTCTCTGCGACCCTGCAGGGAGCCACAGGCCTGAGCATGCAGGTCAGGCTGGGCAGTGAGGTGACCCTGCCTCACCTGGTGACCCAGGTCAGGGTCTGGGAATGGCTCTGAGTGGCATAGACCAAGGAGAAGGACATCTTGTGCCAGCTGTTCATTACCAGCAGCAGCCTCAGCTCGGGGACCTCACCCTGGGGCCAGCCCACGGGGGCTCCAAGGGCAGCAGGGACTATGTGTGCTGGGCGCCCATGGAGGCCCTGGGCTGGCCCAGAAGAGGGCACCTCCTGCAGCTCCTGGCAGTCACAGGTGTGAGAGCCGCGGAGGGGAAGATTCCGGACACTGGGACACTTGACTCTCAAACATCAACCCTGAATTCCTCACCTGGGACTCAGGTCGGACATCCTGCAAAGATGAGGACACCCCAGATAAATAAAGATCTATTTTTTAAAAAAATCTTTATTTAAAAAACACAGCTCAAAAAAAAAAAAAAAAAAAAAAAAAAAACACAGCTCATAGGCTGAACTTGGCCCACAGCTGGAAGTTTTCTGATTCCTGCTCAGAACTTCATAATCATAAGGCTCTTGGAAACATGTGATTCTGTAGTTTTGATCAAAATAATTCCAGAATCTTAAAGTGTTGTTAAAACATATTCCACCTGCAGAGAAAGGCACACGTCCAGAATATGCAGCTGACCCAGGTATCTACCACCACCCAGCTGGAAATCACAAATTCCAGAGCCCTTGGGGTCCCCCATCACCTCCTGAGAGCTGCTACCCCAATCCCTGGCACTGTCCTGACTGCTCAGAGCATGAATCTCTTCTGCCTGGGGTTTGTTTCACTTAAATGCATCCATGGAGTGTCCTCTTGTGTCTGGCTTTTTGCACTCAACATGACATCGGAGGAATTCACCTGTAGTGATACACCTGGTGGTGGCTCCTTTTTCCTTGCTGTAGGGCCACAGGTGACCACATTGTCATGGAACTCAATTTCTTCTGGTTTCTGGCTATTATGGGTAGCCAGAGCCACATCCCCAGCCCTATTTTGTATTTTATTTAGAGACAGGGTCTCCTTGACTCGCTTAGCGCCTCACTTTTGCGGAGGCTGGCTTTGAGCTTGAGATCCTCCTGTTTCAGCCTCCCCAGCTGCTGGGATTACAGGCGTGTGCCACCGTGCCTGGCTGGGCTGCTTGTCTTTTGGTGAAGATATGTAGACATTTCTGTACCTAGGACAATTCCAGAATCTCAAACCACAAAATAGAATCTTGCAGTTCTAGGATCATAGGGACAGAAAATTCTAGGCACTTTGATTTAAAGCATGTATTGTCTCTAAGGAGGTGGATGTTGGTCTTACTGACAAAACCAGATTTTCCTTTAAAAAAAAGTTTTCGTAGCTTGGTATGGTGGCATATACCTGTAATAACAGCGGCTCAGAAGGCTGAAGCAGGAGGATTGTGAGTTCAAAGCCAGCCTCAGCAAAAGTGAGGCGCTAAGCAACTCAGTGAGACCCTGTCTCTAAATAAAATAAAATATAAAACAGGGGGGCTGGGGATATAGCTCAGTTGGTAGAGTGCTTGCCTTGCATGTACAAGGCCCTGGGTTCAATCCCCAGCACCACCAAAAATAAATAAAATACAAAATAGGGCTGGGGATGTGGCTCAGTGGTCAAGTGCCCCTGAATTCAATTCCTGGTACAAAAAAAAAAAAGAAAGAAATTTTTTTTCCTGGTGTTGCGGGTGAACTCCAGCCCTCTTGTGTGCTAGGTAAGTGCTCTGCCACTGAGCCACATCCCCAGCCCTTTTTATTTTTTATTTTATTTAGAGACAAGTTTTCACTGAGCTGTTTAGCACCTCACTGTTGCTGAGGTAGCTCTGAACTTGTGATCCTCCTGCCTCAGCCTCCTAAGCCACTAGGATTACAGGCGTGACCATGTGCCTGGCTCCTTGTGTCCTCTTTTTACATGTAAAGCTTAGATGCACTTACAGAACACAAGTAGATTTATAAGATACCCAAAAGGAATAAAATTTCATAGGGGAACTAATTAAGAATTTTTAAAAAAACATCTAAAGCATCTCCTTTCCTTATTAGTAATGAAAAGGAGAGTGAGAAAGCCCCAAGATAAAGAACTGGACGATTCTAGAATCTTAGACTCGCACGTAGTACCTTAAGCATCAGACTCAGTGTTGTACAGTCTTAGGGTGCAAAGGAGCAGAGAACCCAGAATCCGCAACGGAAAGCCATCAACGCTCAAAGCTGGCAGGAACTTTCCAGATCAGCAAAGCCAGCTGCTCCCTTGAGAAGCCTTTCCTCTCCAGCTGGTGAGGGTGGGTACCTGCCATGGGGTGATGTGTTGTGGCTGAGTGACGTGTCCCCACCCCTGCACTGTCAAGGGGGCCAATTAGCAATTAGCAGAAGTGAGTCAAAGGCTCCAGGTGGTGCCTTGGCAGCTGCAAGGGACCCCACCCAGCTGCACACAGCTGGCTTCTTCATCTGGGAACAAAGGCTTGGCAGCATCCAGGGGCCACCTGCCCACCTTGGCACCTGCGAGAGGAGCAGGCTGGGGTGCAGGACCTTATCAGTCCCGGCATCCAGAGCTTCTGGCTGGGTTTATGTCAGTTACACAGACCTGGATTCAGACTCTACTTTTTTCATTGACATGCTGCGTGACCTTGGACAAGTAACTTGATATCTCTGTCCCTGTTCAGCTGTCAAAATACAGCTGATCTTGGTTTCCTAGCGAGGTGGGTGAATGGAGAGTGGTTGCATCTATTAGTATGGGTCTGGGACATAGTAAGCCCTCAATAAACATAAGATAGTATCATGTCTATGATGCTTATTCAGCAAGACACAGGTTCAGATTGGTGAAAACATGTTTTACTCTGAAACAGGGAAGTGGGGGCAGAGGTGAGGAAGGCCTTTGTTCAAAGCGGGTCCCTGTTGCTACCTGGGTGTGGGATCCCTGGCAATGACTTAGGCGCTCTGAGCCTCAGTTTCCCATCTGTAAATGGGTTTGGCCAGAGTAGCAACTCAAACAGTAGGGGCCAGGAGTGTGATGGTGTCATGGGAAAAGTGACCACGCTCGGTGAGAGTGATGGCCAAGGAGGGGGATGGAGTTCTGGGGAGCTGGAGCCTGTCGTGGGGGTGACAGGGCTCACAATGAGGACCCTGGAGCTCATGATAAGCCCCCAGTGTTCAGTTGTTCCAGTGACCCAACAAGACAGGCAAGAACACCTGCCTAAATTCAGTTCTGCATGGGGTGACAGGGATCTATAACCCCCCCAGCGCGTCCCTCCCCGGCCAGCCCAGGTCCCCGCAATCCGCGCGCCCTCCCCCAGTCTCCTCTGGGAGCTGCTGGTGGCGGGGTGCCAAGCGCAGCTGTGCCTTGGCGCTGGGCGCTGGGATCCCGGGTCTCTGTCGCCGCCCCAGCAGCAGGTGGGACTCAGGGGAGAGAGCAGGGACCGGGTGGGGCGGGGTGGGGCGGCCGGGTGCCCGCTGGGGACGGCTGCTGCCTGGCCAGGGGGGGCGGCCGTGGAACTGGAGAAGGCTGGCCGCACACCCGCCTGCCTCAGAGACCCAGCTCCAGAGGGGGACCACGGAGGGACGCCTCCCCTGAGGATGTCCACTCTATTGCAATGCCCCATGGGACACCAAGGAAGAAGGAGCCCGGCCTGGAGAGGGAAGGTGCTGGACCCTGCGGAGCTGTAGGCCTCCCCACTGCCCAGCCCAGGCCCCCCCCATCCCACATCGGGGTCTCTCCTGGCCCAGGCCCCACTCGGAAGGCCGGCAAAGAGGGTCCTGGGAAGTCAGAAGAGGAATCTAGACCCCTGGAGACCCAAGGGGACCGGCCAAGGACCACATGGGCTACTACTGCTTCCACGGGAGGAGGGGACGCCGACAGCCCACTCCTCAGGAGACTCAGAGGAGCCCCCCGCGGCCCAGGGACATCCAATAGAGGATCCTGCAGAAAGCCAAGCTGCAGCTCATGGCGAATTGGGGGCGCTGAGAACACTCAGTGGTCATCGGGGTGTTCCAGAGCCCCAGGGAGGGCTGCAGAGGCTATGCCCAGGCACTCTGTGACAATGGTGGGGACATGGCCAAGGAGCAGGGAAGCGTCGCCTGTCCTGCTAGCAGTGTCCAGCGCTGGAAGACCCCTCCCTGCCCATCTGGTCCCTCCCCTCCACGGGCTCCCTGGTGTTTACCAGCCAGCAGGTCTCTAGTCCCATTGTCACCTTGAAGTGACACCAGCTGCGCCTGCTCCCCTCCCCCACTTCTGCTGTTTCCATGGGGACAGATGTCCTTTCTGCTGATCTGGCCTAGCTGCCAAAGAATGAGGAGGAGCTGAGCCTCACCCCTCTCTCCATCTTCCTATCTGAGGGTCCTCCCCCCACCCCTGGGGTTTTCCTGCCTCCAGACCTCCCCCTGAGACTCGGGTTCCGACCCTGCCTTGGACCCCAAAAACAAAGAGCTGGGGAGGCTCTTGCCCCTCTAAGGCCTCTCTCCTAGTCCTCCAAGGGGCCAGTGCCTCTGCAGGGCGCCGGGACTCTCCCCGCAGCTCACTGGACACCCCTGGGGCCAATTCAGGCTGCAATGGCCGCCCAGGCTCTGTCTCTGCGATCCCCACCTCCCTGCGGCCCAGAAAGGACGCTGGACAAAGACAGCAGCTTCTTTATTGCCGGGCCAGGGGAGGGCTTTTAGACACCATCTGGGCCCTGGAACACAGCGGGGACCCGGAAGGCCACTCTGATGGAGACTTGGCACGGGCGGACGGGGAGGGGGTCTGTGTGTCCATCCCTTCCCCAGTCCTCCTCCGGGACCAGAAAGACCTCCGCTGAGCGGCAGGACGTCGGGCCCTCTCAGCCGACTCAAGGTCTCTGCGTGGCGATGGGGTACAGCAGAGCCAGGTGCTCGGCTCCCTGCACCGGCAGCGGGTGAGCGCTGTAGTGCAGGACCAGCTCGGGCACGCTGGTGAAGGGCCCGCTGTGCTGCCCCAGCACCACCTGGTTCTCTCGGGTCCACGTGAACTTCAGATGCAGGAAGCCCTGGCTGCTCCTGGGGGTCAGGGGGCAAAGGTGGCCCTGAGCTCCCCAGACCCACCCACACTCTCCATTGCCCCCAAGCCCCCCTCACAGTTGGCAGGGTGGGTGCTGGCTCCCCAGGGGCCTCCAAAAAGCCAAGGTCTGGTGGCCAGTGGTCAGCCACCACCCACAGGCAGGACGGCCTTGGCAGGCTTGTCCTGTAGACCTGAGGTCCTCCTGGGCAGGCCCAGCGCTCACCTGTGTCTGAGAGGAGCAGGTGCCCTCTGTGGGACCTCACTTCCTTCCCTCCAGGCCCTGCCTGGGTGGACCCACCAGCAATGTGGCCCTGTGGCACGAGGTGCCCCAGGCACATTCACACCACACTCCGCTGTGGCCAGGGGAAGGGAGCCTCTCCCTTCCAGGGAATCCTCCCACTCAGCTAGTGTCGCTTTTCAGAGACACCCTCAACCCCCTGTGACTTCCCAGGGTCTCACATGGCTCTTAGCCCTTATCTCAGAGACTGTCTTGATCTCTGGCACAGCCAGAGTGTCAGCACCTAGACCAGGGCCAGGAACGTAGGAGATGCTCAATTAATGTTCATTCAATGAAGGGACCAACCCTAACGGTGGGGGCTCTAAGACCCCTCTTGGCTCACTCCTAGCACCCCTAGATTTGGTCCATTCTCTCTCCAAACTTCCAAACTGTCTTTTTTTTGGTGGGGGCCACAGGAACTGGGGATTGAACTCAGGGGAACTCGACCACTGAGCCACATCCCAGCCCTTTTTTATATTTTATTATTTTTTGTAGTTGTACATGGACAGAATGCCTTTATTTTATTTGTTAATTTTTATGTGGTGCTGAGGATCGAACCCAGTGCCTCACTCATGCTAGGCAGATGCTTTGCCACTGAGCTACAGCCCCAACCCCTTTTTATATTTTATTTAGAGACAGGGTCTCACTAAGCTGCTTAGGGCCTCACTAAGTTGCTGAGGCTGACTTTGAACTCATGATCCTCCTGCCTCAGCCTCCAGAGCCGATGGAGTGACAGGTGTGACCACCGGCACCACAACTCACAGTGTCCAGCTTGCTCCCACCTTATTAACCCCAAGTATGAGGCATGTGGTCCTGTGACACTCTGTCCCTGCAAGGCTGGGGTCTCACCTGAGGGACAGGGAGCAGTCCTGGGCGCTGGTCTCACTGAGCCGCACGAGGTAGCTGCCTTCCTTGCAGAGTGACAGGAGGTTCTCGGCATCCACGCGGCTCAGCGGTCCATGAAACCACCTGCAGGCAGGGGCAGGTGTCTCCTGAAGGCCACTGCCCTTTGACACCCTGGGGGAAGGTCAGGCCAGGCAGGTGCGGGATCTTGTGACATCCCCCAAACAAGCCAGGAAGTCTCCTTGGGAGGAGCTGGGGCTGGGGCCATTCAGCATGGGCACCTGACCCCCACCCCCTTTCTCCTTTGTTGTGCTGAGGGTGAGTTCAAGGGCATCACACTGTATCTGAGCTACAGCCCCAGCATCACCTGATCTTAGAGCCTGCCTGGCATCCCGGCCTCAGCAGCCCTCCCTAGTCCCCAACTTCAGTCTCTCTCATCTGCTTTGCCACATCCTGTACCCTGCCCCCACCCGTTCTGCACTTAATATTTTTCATTAATTGTGCTTAAAAAAAAAAAAGAACAACTGAGCATGAGCCAGAGAGAGGAGCACCCAGCTGCTGGTTTCTATCAAAGAAAACTTAAGAGGCTCCTCTCACTCTGGGCCTCATGGGAGGTAACAGGCCCCGCCTTCTGCAGAGGTTTGGGCCTGGGGGTGAGGGCAAGGCCTGGGCTCTGGGCCTGGAGAGCACCTGAGGAGCTCCCAGTGCTGGAGGGACACAGAAGACCCAGAGCCCCTCAGCTCAGGCCGCACACTTCTGCACAAAGTTCTGAGCGAACTGCTCCTCCCAGTTCCATTCCAAGATCTTCTGGGGGTGAGGATGATTCCTGTGTCCTTCGCAGGTTCAAAATCCCCTCCCAAGTACCCAAGTGAAGGGAGGAGATCCTACCCTGAGCCAGGCACCCAGGGGGTTTTGAACTTGGATGCTTAGAAGCGGAAGGTCCTGACTGGGGCCACACAGTAGGAGATGCAGAGCAGGGGTCTGAACCCAGAACCTGATTCCAAAGGGAAGGGGCCCTCATCTGCGGGGAACCTGGTTCGCAAGCAGTGTGTGTGTGTGTGTGTGGGGGGGGGCAGTGATTAGCTGAAGAAATTAATGAAGTTAATAAATGAATGAATCCAAGTTCTTCCCAGTTCCAGGGTCCCAGGTGGGAAAACAAGAAAACTTCTGCCTGCCGGTGCAGTGGGGCACACCTGTAATGCCAGCAACTCGGGAGGCCAGGCAGGAAGGTCGCAAGTTCGAGTCCTGCCTTCACAATTCAGCAAGACCCTGTCTTAGCATTTAAAGGGTGGAGGTGCATTGCGGGAGGGGGATCTCAGTGATAGAGCGCCAGTGGTTCAATCCCCAGTACCAAAAATAATAATAAATCAAATTTAAAAGGAAAACGTCTGTCGGGTAAATCGGAGCCTGTTGATAGTTCCTTCAGCTCTCCCACTCACGGCTGTTTCTCCAGGGGCAGAGCAGGATCCACACGCTCTGCAGGCTGGGGGCTTCTGGGTGGGGGTCTCCGTAGCTCCTTGATTGAGCCTGGGGTCCTTTCCCACTCTGGACTGTCAAACTGCACTGGAAGGGGAGGGTTAGAGAAGAAAGAGTTAAGTCCAGTCCACCTCAAGGGGGCGGGGCAGAGTCAAGCCAATGAAATTTCATTGGGGAGGCGGTGCCAGTTTGGATCACCTATCAGAGCTCACAAAAGGAGGAGCTAGGCTAAAGAATGAAAGGATTGACACAGGAGCAGCCAATTGGCTTTCAGAAGAGAGGGGCGTGGCAAATCATAAATCTGGGGGCACGGAAGGGGCGGGGCAGCAGCAGGAGCATCAAATCAAAGAGCAGGTCGGATTACAGAGCACCTAGGGCTGAGTTCCCTTCGGGTTCTGTTCCAATTTGGACCAAGTCTTAAAACTGGAGACCACCCTCCATATAAATACAGTGGGTGGAAGCAATGAGTCCCAAACACCCTCCCAGTCATACAACTTTTGAGGCAAGGTCATGTGGGCAAACCTTCCTGGCCTGAGTTGTTTTATTTAGTAGTAGTAGTAGTACTGGGGATTGAACGTGGTCATCGTCGTTGTTATTACTATTATTATTCTGTTTTACTTGACACAGGATCTCCCCAATCTGCTGAGAATGGCCTCGAACTTGCGATTCTCCTGCCTCAGCCTCTTGAGTCCACACCCAGCCTGAGTTATTTATTTATTTTGGTGCCAGGGATTGAAACCCACGGACACTTAACCACTGAGCCACCTCGCCAGCCCTTTTTTGTTTTTTTTTAATTTATTTTTAGACACAGTCTAGCTAAGTTACTCAGGGCCTTGCTAGATTGCTGAGGCTGGCTTTGAGCTTGAGGTCTTCCTGCTTCAGACTCCCAAACTGCTGGGATTATAGGCATGTGTTACCATGCCCAGCCTGAGTTCTTTTATTTTTTTAAAGCTGATCTTATTGTTACTATTTTTATACAAGAGGAAACTGAGATTCAGAGACTCAGTCAAGTTCCCTCAATTCAGCTAGGGATTGACCCCAAGTCCTCCTGACTGACACAACTAGAGGATCCTGCCCTTCCCGTCTAACAGCTCTCCTGTCATTGGGCCCTGGCCAGCATTCAGTTTACAAGAACTCTGTTCAGTAGGTACTGTGATGACCTTTTATTTTGTGGGTAAGGAAACTAAGACTCAGTGACTTGTCCAAGGAAGTGACACAAACCCAGGTCTATTGTTGACCAAAGCCCTGTTCCTTTCCCTGCACTATGCTGAGCAGAATGAGTTAGGTTTTATTTCACAAGGCCTTTCAGTTGCCAAAGAATATGCAGGTTTTCCTGGGGGGAAGAATTTGTGACTATCAGCCATTCCCACTTTAGTGAGAATCAATGAATTATCTCATGGCAGGTAATTGGGCTCTACTTTATAAATAGATGCAGAGATGTGACTAGATGAAGAAATGGAGGATGGGCCATTCAGAGGTCAGGGTTTGGTTCAGAGAAGCACCTGCAAATGCTCTGGAGATGTGGTCTTTCTTCCACTCCCAGGGCTGGTCATACTCATCTGCTGGACGTTCATCCTCTTGGGGCAGCCGACTCTGCCGAGGCCTCTGATCAAAAGGGGGCCCGTCCCCCCGCTCTGGGTCCTGCTCTTCATAGGGAGTATCATACAGCTGTAGCCCCGCGCCGCAGGGCAGTTCTGGGAGGCCAAGGACACCGGTCAGCCCCCATCCCCTGGGGACTTGACACCTCCCCAGCCCTGCTCACTTACCACTTATGACCCGCTGGGCGTCATAGGGCTCCATGTAGCCATCATCTGGGGGTGGCGGGTGAGGCTGGGCATCGAAGGGGTCTGAATACTCAGTGTCAACTTCCAGCTGGGAACAGAGGAAGGGAGAGAGCTAGGGAGACCAGCTGAGCTCCAGAGAGCCCAGATGGGTGGTGTCACGGATTCCAGCTGGCCCAGCTTACGTCCCCCTGTACTAGATGCTCTGCATGTGTTTATCTGCAAGAGCAACACTCAGCAAGTACACAGGCCCCATCTTACAGGCGAGGAAACCAAAGCACAGAGAGGGCAAGTGACTTGGGCAGGTCACACATCTGGTGAGTGTGAGGCAGTTTGATCCCAGCCTTCTGATTTCCCTGTGTTCCCTCCTCCTTTTATCTCCCTGTGCTCTCAACCACCCACCAAGAGAGCTTTGGTGAGCCGTAGTCTGCTGAGGCTAAAAACCATGTTGACAAGAAGGGTGGGCACTGGAGGCAGCTCTGGGTTAGGTTCCAAAGTTAAGGTGCCAGGCTTTGACCTTGGGCTGGAAAGTCACTTCTCTCCTGCCAGCCTTAGCTTCCACTTTTGTAAAATGGAAATCAAGTAGGAGGGGCAGCATGGCTAGGGAACCTTTGCTGGCATCTGTCTTCCAAGCTGGGGCCAGTTGCCAAGGGCAAAGCTCAAAGGAGGGGATTCTGGGGGCGCTGGTGTCTCCCGCCCCCGCAGGACGGCCAGCTCCACGCATTTAAAAGAGGTATCAGACTCTGCTGAGCAGGTGGGGGCGGAAGTGTCCGGTGCCCTGCCCACCTCTGGGATCCTGCATAAACCACGCTCCCTGGATCGGGGACCAGAGCAGGACCCTGGCACCCAGTGTCCCGCACCGCTGTCTGCGGAGCTGCCCAGGCACGCACCTCTTCCCCGGGGTTGTCCAGCAAGGCTTTGGCTCTGGCCATGTCTGCGGCCTCCACTTTGATGAGCCGGTGCTTGGGAGAGTCGAACTTGGAGTCTCCGGGGCCCTTGGTGTCTCCGGGGTCCGCAGGGTCTGGCTCTGGGCGGCTCTCAGAGTCCTCATAGGGGTCCTCAAAGTCCAGATTCTTCTGCACCCTGTAGGCCCTCAGGATATCGCTCTCCGTGTAGTCCGGGGTGGGCGGCTGCGGAGGGGGTCTCCGACCGCCAAAGCTCAGGTAGTCCCGAAGCCACTTGGCCATTTGGGCTTGTGTCACCCCAAACCTGGCTGCTGTAAGAGAGGGACCCACATACCTGTTTTGGGTCCCTTCTCAGAGGGGAGGAGTGCAGGAGGGAAAGGAGGAGACGGAGGGGGAAGAGCTCAGGTGTGCCCTTCGGTTGGGCTCAACAGGGGCAAGGTGAAGAGGTGAGAGAGGGAGAGAGAGGAGGAGAAAGAGGAGGGAGGAGGAAGCCCACCTTAGCTCGGCTCTCCAAGAACCACAGGGTAAAGGGCGCCCGGCAAGTCCCTGAACGCGGCGCGCGCGGGGTCGAAGGGCCGGGGCGAGGGGCATCCGCGGAAGCGCGCAGACTTTGCGCGGGCAGCGCACTCCGGTGTGCGGCGCCGCCTCCGCCGCCTGGGAGGCTCCGGGATCCTCGCTGGGGCTCCGAGGTCCGGGGAGCGGCGCCCGAGGACGCCCCCAGCCCTGCTCAGCCGGGACGCCTGGCTTCTCAGCGCAGCTGGCCGGCTCCCCTGGGGCGCGAGCGCCGCGCGCGAAGTTGCGCGGCGGGGACGGTGGCAGGGTACATCCTTTGTTGCTCTCCGCTCCGCGCTGGGGGGAGCCCTAATCCCAAGGCCCCCGGCCGGCTGCCTCCATCCGGCCCCAGCCACAGCACAAAGGGAAATAAAAACCTCCTGCAATCCGCGTTCAAGCTTTCGGGGACTTTACGCGCGACCGCGGGCGCGCGTGGCCGCGAGGTGGGACTTTGGGGAGGGGGCGCGCCCGCGGTCGCCCCGTCCCTACCCGCCCCGGGCCGCGTCCGGGGAAGCAACGTCAAGGCTTCCCCGCCCTTCCCCTCCCCTGCGCTCCCCTCGGAGGTGACACAGACCTTCAGCTGGTTCGGGGCGGGAGGGAGGGAGGGGAGCCGCGGCCGCCGAGGGAAGGGGGCTGGGGGCGCAGGAGTCGCTGGGGCCGAGACCGCGGCAGCTGGACACTGACCCGGAGGCCCGAGATGCGCCGAGGCGAGAGAGGAGCGCGGCAGGTGGGCACAGCCTGGGGCGGACACAGCTCGCCGGCCGGCGGGAGAGGACCCGGGAGGCAGAGCTTCCCGGGAGCGGGGGCGGGGGGGCTGGACTTGACCGCCAGAAGGGACGAAATTGACCGGGAGATGGGATGAGAGTGACCGCTATTGAGGGCCGAAATTGAGCCGATGACCAGGCAGTGGAGGGGGTGGGACTGTCGGAGAGGTCACTGGCTAAAATTGACACGCCGCGGAGGGAAAGCGGGAGGTGGGAGCCCGAGGACTGGCCTCCCCTCCCCCTGAGGTCTCGGCTCTCTCCCTCCCCAGGGGACCCATTGCAAGGCCGGGAGGGGTTGGGGCAGCTGGCCGGGTAAGGGAGATGGTATCTGTGCCTGTCTGGTGGCCTCGCATCTGTCCCTTTGTGGCTTCCAGGGCGGGAGGCTGGAAGCGGGGAAGAAGTGAGGGGGGTCTGCCTGTCCTGGTCGCTGCAGCTGCCTGGGGGGAGGGCACCCAAGGTGTGGGGGTCAGAGACAAGGGGGGGCGCCTTTTCTCTCCTCAGGCGGGCACTTGCTGGGCTCCCCTTAGTAACTGGAGTGAGGGGTGTCAGGAAGAACCGAGGCCCCCCAGGAGTACAGCTCTGAGGAGCGGGGGCCTGGAGGAAGTCACCTGCACTACCTGTGAGCTGTGCCCTCCTCAGGACACAGGCCAGGGCAGGGCCTTCCCTAGTGCCCAGGTCTCCTCCATAACAGGGGGATCCTAACGGGGAAACCCAAGAGCCCAGGAAGGATTGCCAGAGGGGGCAGTTACCACCCAGGACGCTCTTTTACCTGTGGGAAAGCTGAGGCACAGCGGGAGGTGGCCTGGCTCACAGCTACCCAGGGGCTCCTTTGTGCCTGGACACCATCCTGTGGCTGGCTTGGGTGGCACCAATATCTCCTGTGGAATTAGCCGTTCCCCCTGTTCTCCCTCCCCTCCACTATTAGCCCCATTTTTCAGATGGGGAAACGGGTCCAGAGCCCACGGGCCAAGACCCCAAAGCAGCGGGGGTCTGCACACTTCCATATCTGCCCTTGGAACCAGCTGTCCCCACAGCACCTGTTGAGCTCCACCCTCCCCCTGCAGCTCACTTCCACAGTCGTCACCCCCCCCCCCCCATCAGCGACAGCAGCGTCCCCAGAGACCGCCTGGGAGCGTGGCGGGTAATTGTCCTGTTTTCTGTCAGCCGCAAGGCAATTCCCGGCTCAGGGATGAGCTGTTGACAGATCTCATCAAATCCGAGTCCCCTCTCCGTCTGATAAATAGGAGGCGTCTGAGGTATAAATATTTGAAAGGGACCTTCTAATTACAGTCCGCGTCAGGAATAGCAATCAGAGGGCCCCAGGCAGAATCAAGCGCCGTTTGACTTCCCTGCGCTTTTGAACTGGCTGCAGCCGGTGGCCCCCACCCCAGGAGAGGAGAGGGGGAGGGTGGGGGGAGGGGAGGGGAGGGAGGGGGCCAAGAGGAAGGAAGCCAGGCTGGGGGTGGGCCAGCTCGCTGATGGCTGGGCTGTGTGACCTTGATGGGGGCACACCTCTAGGGCTTTGGCCTTCTGATCTGGAGGGGCTCCAGGGGGAAGGCCGGAGGTGCACTGTGGGTAGAGGCCAGGAGGCGGCCGGGCTGGGGCTTGGGGCAGTGGGGACCTCCTTTCCTTTGGAGGTTGAGACGCAGGCTGTGGAGGCCTCTCGGGGTGAGTGGGGCTCAGGGTTCCCACCTGGTTCTCCAGAACCAGGTGCTGGAGGCTCAGCCCAGGACCTCACCTTGGGTAGGGCCCGGTCCGTGTCCTGGCCCCTGTGAACGCTGGTGGCCAACTGTGTCTGGGATGCTGCTTGTGTTTTGGATATAATCCACACACCCTGCACTCACCCCCTCTCTCGGGGGCTGGGGGGCGTTTTCCTAGCAAGAGCCACACCCTGGGTTCCTTCCCCCGCACTCCATGAAGAACATTAAATTACAGGGTACAACTCAGTGGGTTTCCGTATATTCTCAAAGCTTTGTGACTGTCACCACTGTCTAGTTCCAAAACATTTTTGTTATCTCAAAAAAACTTCTATAAACATGTGGCAGTTCCCTGCACCCTCCCCAGGCCCAGAACCCTAAATCCACTTCCTGTCTCTGGACCCCGGGCTTGTCCAACGTGTCTGCTTCTCTCACTGAGGCAGGTCCTCAAGGTCCATCCAGGCTGCGGGCTGCAGCTCGTGGCATGTAGTAGGTGCTTCATGTATACTTAGGCTTGCTGGGACTTCAGAGGCCACCAGAGGGGTTCCTGGCCAGGGTTGTGCCTGCCCCTGTCCCCTTGGTCTTCTCATGGAGCAGCCTCATTAGTCTGGTGGCGGGTGGCATCCCAGGCACCAGGACAGGCAGGGAGAGTGTTGGTGGCTCACCGTGGGCTTAGAAGTTCCTAACCTGTTTGGGGAAATGTAGCCCTCCCTTTCCTCCCTCCCTCTCTCCCTCTCCCTCCCTCCCTCTCTCCCTTCCTTCTTCCTTTCCGTGCTGGGATGGAACCCAGGGCTTTGCAGGTGATGGGCAGGTGTCCACCCACTGAGCCTTTCTATTTTCTTTTGAGACAGGTCTCACTAAATTGCCTGGGCTGCCTTTGAACTCGCCACCCTTTCCCTCCTGAGTGGCTGGGATTACACGAGTGGCCACCACTGACTTCCTAACCCGTGGCCTTGCCCTGAGACTCCCCAGTCTGATGGAGGAGCCGCGACCCTCCCTCTGAAGCTCCCAGTCTGAAGGCAGAAACCGTGGCTGCTTTCCCGGCTGGCGGTCTGGCGGAGGAGGTGCAGGGGAGGGCGGGTCCCATCCGGGTGGTCCCAGGTCCGTCCCTCACTCTCAACCAGCCTTGGCCAAGGAGCCTGCGCCCGTCAAGGCAGTGACAGTGCAGGTGCCCCAGAGAAGAGAGCCTGGACTCGGGGCTGCCTCCAGAGGCGGGCTCAGGTGGCCAGAGCAGGCCCAGCCGGGCAGTCCCTCTGACAAGCTGCAGCAGCCAGGCAGCCCCAGGGGAGCTGATGGAGGAGGTCTCCAACGAGGCTTGACAGCGCCGAGCGGTGGGAAGGGGGAGGGGCAGGCGGGGCTGGGAGCAGGGCGGGAGAGGGGGCTGCACACACCAGCCCCCAGTGCAGTGCATCCAGCGCCTGTCCCTCTCCTCGCTCAGCCCCAGAACCGCGTGAAGGGAACCTTGCCCAGGGTGGGCACCAGGACACCGGTGACAGACCAGAGTCCCTGGGGAACTCAGTGTGGAGGAATGGGAGGGGTGGACAGGCAGAGGCAGGGTCCCTTCCCCGGGTGACTCAGTCACAGAGGCTCATGGGCACCTGCCAGATGCCTGATGCTTCAGCTGGGGCAGGAGGCAATCACCCGGTCACCACCTCCTGACGCAGACCCTCGTGTGACCTCCACTGCGCTGCCCACTGTGCTCACGGTCCTCAGCTTGAGCTGGAGAGAGGCTGGCACTTGCTCCTAACCACAGGGCTGCGGTGGAGCTGGTGGGGACACTGTCCTCTCTGTGGGCCTTTGGAAGCAAGTGTGGGCAATGTCCTGTGGGCCACATGGAAGCCAGTCCTTCCCGGCCGAGCCTTCAGATGACACCGGCTGCAGCTTGTCTGTGTCTCTGGCTCATTTTGTGTGAGTGGAGCTGGCGATGGAAGCCGTCCGTGCGTGCTAGGGAGGTGCCCCCCAGCGAGCACGCCCAGTCTCACCCAGCGCTTTTGGTTTTGGCTGACAGACCTTGGACTCCTGGGTTCCAGTGATCCTCCCATAGACACAGGGCGGCCCCTAGTGTGTGTGTGTGTGTGTGTGTGTGTGTGTGTGTGTGCGCGCGCCCGCTCTGTACTGAGGATTGAACCCAGGGGTGCTTAACCACCCACATCCTCAGCCTTTTTTATTTTTTTGTTTTGAGACAGGGCCTTGCTAAGTTGCTGAGGCTGGACTCAAACTTGCAATCCAACTGCCTCAGCCTCCCACGTCTCTGGGATGGCGGGTGTGTGCCATGTGCCTGGCCCCAGTGTTTTCTACTTTCAGATTTCCTGCCGATATCCCCGGAAGCCACACTGGCGATTCTGTTGCCTTAAGCCAGGGAATTTGGGAGTAAGGTGTCATGCAGCACTGAAACATACACGGGCAGAACGCACCTCTGAAGGCCCCTGCACCTCAGCCCCTCGCTCTCACCATGGTTACCCCCTTGTCCAGGGAGCATTCATTTTACTTATTTTTTATTATTGTACCTAATACAATAAAAATACATTGTATAAAATACTTATTTATTAGATTTATACTATTAATTATGTTTCATTTTATTAATATTTATTGTTACCATCTTATTTATTTAATTTGCAGTGCTCTATCACTGGCTGCCTCCTCAGCCCTTTTATTTTGAGACAGGGTCTCACTAGGTTGCCTAGGCTGGCCCGGAAGGTGACATCTTCCTGCCCCGGCCTCCTGAGGGGCTGGGATCCCAGGTGCCCAGCTTTCTTTTGTTTATTGTATCTGGATGCTTGATCTCTTACACCCCCACCTCCCAAGAAGAAAGTCACTCTCCGGGAGGGGGCTTTGCCTGTTTTCACTGCTGTGGCCCCAGTGCCTAAACCAGAACCAGGTGCACAGTAGGTGCTCAATAAACACATGTGAACTGGGCAGATGGACTTGACCTTGTAATGGGAACAGGAGTGAGGGGGTTCACAGGCAGCTCAGCCCAGGGTCCTCAATGGTGAGTCCTGCATCTCCGGTGCTGCTGGCCCTGCTCTCTTGAGTGACTTCTGCACTCCCTCTGGCCACAGCGTCATGGCAGAGGGGTGGGGCTTTGGGGCTTGTCCTCAGGTGGCCACGGCTGGGGAGCTGCAGGAAAAGAGTGGGCCTAGGGACAGGGCTGGAGTCTTGTCATGACCCCCGTCCTGGGAGGCCTGGGAACCAGAGCGGATCCGAGGAGCTGGATGACCCACGGTGACTACCTGCGGGTTCTCAGCTCTCATGGGGTCAGAGGGGCAGGAAGGAGGAGCACACAAGTAGGCAGGTCAGGCTGTCAATAAAACTTTATTTATAAAGACAGACCCAGGGCCAGATTTGGCCTGTGGTTGCAGTTTGCATTTATTTGACTTATATTTTATTACTGTACCTAATGTAATAGAATACATCATACAAAATCCTTATTTTTATATTAACTCCACTATACTACATTTTCATATGTATTGTTTCTATTTTTTTTATTTTGCAGTTTAGAATGTGGTCAGATTAAAATTTAGTGCTGTGGGGCTGGGACTGTAGCTCAGTGGTAGAGTGCATGCCTTGCATGTGTGAGGTACTGGGTTCAATCCTCAGCACCACATAAAAAATAAATAAAGATTTAAAAATAAAATAAAATTTAGTGCTGTTAGATAAATAATAGTAATAGATGCTCCATGAACTTGGCAAAAGTTAAGTGTGAATAAATCAAAAGAAACCAGAGAAGCCAGGTGCAGTGGTGCACACCTACATTCTCTGTAACTCAGGAGGCTGAGGCAGGAGGTTCACAAACTTGAGGCCAGCCTCAGCAACATAGCAAGACTGTCTCAAAAAAAAAAAAAAAAAAAGGGCTGGGAGTGGCTCAGTGGTGGGTTACCCCTGGGTTCAATCCCCAGTGCCTGAAAAACAAGAGAATTTAAGCAAAAGGGTGCTTTAGAGCAAGGGCCTGGGAAAGGCTGGCCAATGGGCCTGGGGGAGAGGCAGTGAGGTGGGGGAGAGGCGGTGGTGTGTCGGGAGATGCTGGCAGCTACCCTCTAGAGCTGGGATGCTCTCTGGTGCGCCAAGCCCTCCCCGCAGACATGTGAAGCTGCTAAACATTGCTGAATGCAGAAGACAGAAGACGCGCACATCCAATGACTGTCACCAGCTGCCACTGTCACCCCGGGGCCTTGTCAGGGAGCTCTGGCTGGTCCTGGAGCGCCTTCTCAGGAAGCCATCTGCAGAGCTGCTTTGCCACCCCCACTGTCCCCTAATCATTCAGGGACCGTCCCTCCCTCCTCCTTGAAGGGTGCTCACTTGCAGAATCTGCCTGAAAGGAGTCTGCGGGGACCCAGGATGTCAGGGCCCCTGTCCCAGCACAGGGACATCCTCCCATAAAAGTGCTTCAGCCCCTGACCCCGAGGGAGGGTCTCAGGTGGCCCTTCCTCCCCGGGCTTCCCCTCGGGGAGCCTGGCTGAGGCCACGAGGCTCCACATGGAGAAGTCACAGGAGGGAGACCCCACCTCCCGAAACGCGACCACCAAACGCCAGTCAGTGTGTGCCCCAGTTATGTGCCCGTCTGGGTGAGGCCACCCAGGTGCTGGAGAAGTGGGGTGGGTCTCCCAGTAGCTGCTCCTGGAGCCAGAGAATCGGGGACATCTGGCCACCCCCGAGGAGGAGAGCTGTTCAGAGTTGGGGCCAGCCATCACGCTAGTGACCCACTGTGGCCAGGACACAGTCCCCCAACTGGGCACCAAACAACGCCCCACCTCCTGGCTCTGAAAGCCAGGGACCCTTGACGGGCCTGGCCGGGCGGCCCTGCTCAGGGTCTCCAGGGGCTGCCATCAGAAGCTCCAAGTCCCATATACCAGTCTCCAAGGGACGTCCCTGCCCCCAAGGGCCCCAGCTGGTCCCCAAGGCAGCCTGCCTCAGGAGGGTGCAGCTCCTCCCTCTGACGAGGGGTACCCAGGGGACAAGGAACCTTGGCAAGTCACGTCAGTCTCCAACACGTGCCGTGCCAGGTCTCGGCCGCACAGCGCTGCCATCAGGCCCCAAGTACAGCCACCCACACAACCAGAGGAACATGGGCTCAGGGTAGACACAGGCCACGGCGAGCTCTCAAGACCCCGTGGAGCCCTCCCCAGCCCACTGGGCTCCTCTGCTCCACTGGCTGGTCCTGCCCCAGGCCCTTTGCACTGCTGTGCTAAGCCCCCTCTCTAGGGCCCTGCCCCTCCATCCCCGAGAGAGCCCGTCCCCGGTTAGTGCAACACAAACCATCCTTTGGAGGTCCTTCCTGACGGTCTCCATTTTCAAGAGTCCTCAGAAGAGAGGACAGAGGTGGAGATGGCATGTGAGGAACACGCACATGAGGGCCAGGCGTCGCAAACAAGGGAACGGCCAGGTGTCCCCCAGGGAGGCCTCCGCCCATCCGAGAGCGCCTCATGGGACCCATTTCTGCTACCCTCTGTGGAGGCCAGCAGGGTGGGCTCCCTTGGAACCTAGTGGGTCCTTCATGCCTCCCCCAGGCTCTGGGAGCCCAGTGCCCTTCAGGGCCCGCCCCCCACTGTCCTCCCGCCTGCTGTCCACGTTCCCTTTATTTTTGGTACGGGGTGGGGGGACCCGGGGTGCTCCACCGCGGAGCCCCCAGCCTGGCTGCCAACTTGCCATCTTCCTCCTCCTCCTCGGCCTCCTGAGTAGCCGGGGTGGCAGGGGTGGCCACTGCGCCTGGCTCCAAATCCCCCTTTATAAGGTCACATTGGGACAGGGCCAGCCCCAGGCCTTGCCCAACCCGGAGACGTCCCTAAGCCACACCCGAGGCCTGGCCCACCTCTCCCCCTTTTCTACTTACTTGTTTATTTTTGTGGTGCTGGGATGAACCTGGGGCCTCCCGGGCCGCCAGCACCCCCCTCCGAGCCCCTCTACCCTGGGGCGCCCCAGCCACCAGCATGCACCTCCTTCCCGCCTGCAGTCCCACCTCCCTGCAGTCCCACCTCCGGCACACCCCAGCAGGCAGCCACTGAGCAGGGGACACCTGTCCCCGGGAGGGATGCTGCTGTGGTTGGGTGTGGCTCAGGTGTGGGGAGCGTCCCTGAGCAGGGAAGGTGCAGGTGGCTGGTCACAGGGCGGTCCTTGGAAGGAACTGCTGTCTCCCAGACCTGGGCCACCCCAGGGTGAGCCGGGCCTCCCCAGCTCTGCTCCCGGCTCACCGAGTGACCTGTCCCTCTGGCACCCACTGCTGCCACATGTGATGCCACCCTCTAGGCAACGCGGTTACGGTGGCCCTTGCCAGAGCCAAGCCTCGGGGGCTGTGAGCCAAACCAACTTCTTTATAAAGGGCCCGACCTCGGGCGCGGCACTGCAGCGACAGCAAATGAACAGACGCGGGATCCAGACACCAACAGTGGTACGCGGGGCCCGCGGAGCCCGGGGCCACCCCAAACCCTGCTAGATCCTGGCAGAGAGAAGGTGCCTGGCCAGTGCGGCAAGGCCCTTTTATTGGTTCTAGACAGTTCTAGGGGGCGAGGGAGGGAGCCAAGTAGGGAAGGACGCCCCCATCCCAGAACACGGCTGCCCTCAGACCTGCCCGGGAAGAGGCCGGGAGGCCACGAGCGCTGGGCTTGCAGGAGCTCAACCCTGGACCCTGCAGGTGGGAAGGAACCTGAGGTGCCGCAGGGCCGCTGCAGGTGGCAGAGAAACCGAGTCCCCCGCAGCCTGGCTGGCCCTCGGCCTGGGTGACGCTGCTGCTGCTGCCCGTGGCCCAGGTCGTGTGCAGCCTCCTGCCCAGACCATGAGCAGCTCCCGCCTCGGACGGCCGCACCGAGACCTGAGATGCCCTGGGCCTGGGTGGGGCTCTCAGTTGCTGCCGTCGCTGTCCCCACTGTCCCCATACATGCCCAGCTGGCTCAGGGAGGAGGTGCCAGGCGTGCGGGGTGCAGGGTCTGCGGTCTTCTTGCTCTCCGGGGCACCTGTGGGGACAGGAGAGGCTCAGCCCCACAGTCCTGAGAGCCTGATGAGGCTCAGGGCACAGGTGGCGTGGCCCAGCCTGTGGAGGGCGCCTGGAGGGGACTCAGCCACCTGGCCTCCGGCCTGTGGCCCGCGGACACCTGCCCTGGCAGGTGAACGCACTGCTGAATGGAGACGGCTCCATGTCCAAGTTGAGCCGCTGTGACAGAGCGGGCAGGGTCCGGGCCCACTGTCCACCCTGCTTCGCAGCTCCAGGTGAGGCCACCTGCGCATCTGGCTGAAGGGTCAACATGGGACTGGCCACAGTGGCTCATGGCGCCCGGACGTCCCACCAGGGAGTGCCCGCCAGCTTCCCGCCAGCCGTGCCACATTTCTGCTTGAATTTTAAAGGACAGGAAAGAGGCGGGTGGGGGGTCCCTTGGCGCAGGCCAGGTAAGCAGGCGGGAGGCCGGGGTGGGCAGCCAGGTGGCTCAGCCCCTCGACCCGTCTCACCCACGATTCTCCACCTCAGGAGCTGATGTGGGCTGGGGGCCATGCAGCTGTGAACACCTGCCAGGGGTCCGCAGGGGACCGTGACATCTGAAGACAAGGGTGGCGGGCCACGGGGCTTATCTTATAAGCTGCTGTGTGACTTGGATCTTGTGTGTGAGGTGCAGGGAGGGAGGCCGGCCTCCCCGGGCCTGCCCAGCGCTGCAGCAGAGCCACATGCAGCCCGGGCCTTGGGCCCTGAGGGGCCACTTCCATCTGTAATTAAAGGAAAAATGAGCCCCAGCCCTTCTCCCCTGGTCCAGTAACTGGCCCCTGTGGCGGACAGGCTGCGCCCCACCCCACATGAAGCTTCTAGAACCGTAAGGGCACTGCGCCAACCAGGGCGGCGGGAGGCACTGCGCCCAGCTCTGGGGACCTCACCTGGGCTGGGGCCCTGCCCCGTGCTCCCCGCTGCGGCCGTCTTCGTCTTCTTCACCACGACCAGGCCCGATAGCTGGGCCCTGCCCGTGCTCTCTGCCTTCCTCTTGGCCTTCGGGGCCTGTAGGGTGACCGGACTCGTGAGTGGCCTGCCCCAGTCCAGTCCCTCTCTGGGCTCCTGCCCTGCTGTCACCTGGCGAGCCGTGGCCCTAGGCTGGGTGTGGCGTCCTGCGCCTCCTCCCCTCACACCCCGTTGGCACCTCGGCTTCTCGCCCACTCCTCCCTGACGCCCCTTCCCTCCTCCTGCCCTGGCGAGCTCCGACTCGTCCCTCAAGACCCGTCAAGTGTCTCTCGGAGGCCCGAGTGCCCACCGCCCCGGCTGCCTGTTAGCTGTCTGCCTGGCCCCATGGGCGGCTAGGTCCTGTCGCCACGCTTGTCCGCTGCCCCCCACAGGGTTCCTGCCACTCCCTGGGCGCCAGCCACCATGTCTGAGGGTCCAGTGGAAACGGAGGCCCTGCCCAGGAGGGTGCAGGAAGGGGCTCAGCAGGACTCTTCACCCACCCCGGGGCCCTGTCCCCGTGTTTAAACAGAACTGGCAACCATGGGACTGAGGCCCTGCGGGCGGCAGCTGGGGCGGGACAGCAAGGGGTGCGGGACAGCGAGGGGTGCGGGACAGGCAGACGTCCAGCTCAGGTGTGCCCAGCACCGTCCCCAGAGGCGGGCAGCGGGCCAGCACTCCCAAAGGTGCTGGGGGCATCGGTGGTGCTGAGGGACCCTGAGGGACGAGGAGGGGCTAGCAGAGGGGAGGGGTTGCAGGAGCAGGACCCCAGGCCCTGGACGGTGGCGGTGGGTGGGCAACAGCCGGGGGCCAGAGCTCTTTGACCTTCTGTGCTGGGCAGAACCCAGGGCCTCCTGAGTGTGAGGAGGGAGAAGCAAATGTCCGCGCAGTTGGAACCGCTGTCACCTGAGGTCTGCCCAGTGGCTAGAGCTGGACCTGGCTGCCCACAAGGCTCTGTTCTTCCCTCCTGTCCAGTTAGCGGTGCGGTCAGCCCGGTCAGCTAGCCAGCCTCCTCCCAGCCTCCCTTGCAGCTAGACTCAGCCTGGAGACCATGTTCTGGTCCAGGGGGATGTTGGGGGCCATGGTGGGCCACACCCGGGTCTGGGGGAGCCCCCATTCCCTGCTTCCCCTCAGCTGCAACGCGGTGCCACAGGCCACCTGGGTCACCTGGGCCACCTGGACAGGGACAGCCGCTCCAAGAGACACTCTAGGAGCCACCGGGAGCCTGAGCCCCTGAATGGCTCAGTAGGGCCAGCAGAGCTGCCCAGAAGTCCTGACTGCCCAGGGGACTGGCTTGTGACCAGAAGCAAACCTCAGTGTCCACTCTGCCCAGTTTCCCAGGCTCAGCAGGGAGGGGACAGCAGACCCGCCACTCGTCACCCGGTTTCAGCAACAGTTGGCGCATGGCACAGAGCCTGAGGCGGCCGGAGCAGCTGCAGCGCCAGCTGCCCAGCCTTCCAGGGCCGCCCAGCTGCCCGGGCTCCCCGTCCCCGCAGCACTGCGGCAGGGGGCCCGGGGCTCACCTCGTGCAGGATGGCGGTGGGCTGGGGCCGCAGCGCGGGCCGGGGCGGGGCAGGCGCGGCCTCTTCCTCAGAGTCTGAGTCCTCCAGCAGCCGTCGCCTCCGCGCTTCCTCCAGCAAGGCCCTGTGGGAAGGCCAGGGCTGGGGGTGCTCCGCAGGGGACTCGGCCAGGACCCCCTGCCAGGGCCCTACCCTGCCGGATGGACGTGGGAAGGGCGCACCACGTGTTGAGGCTCACCCCCCCCCCCCGCTCCCTGAGGGGTGAGTGGCCAGGTGCCTGGACACTGAGGTCAGCGCGTCTGGGCTCCGGCCCTGGTTGGGGACTATTCGGGACTGCCTGGACACTGGCCTCAGCCCTGGACCCGCTGATGGCCACACCAACTGCCAAGGCAGGGCAGGGGGCAAGTGCCAGGTAAGTAGCTGGCTGTGGCAGAGTGACCACTGCCTGCCCCAGGTGCCACCAAGCCCTGCTGTGCTCTGACCCCACCCAAGGCCCAGGGGGACAGAGACACAGCTACAGGACAGGACTGACCAGCAATGGAGCAAAGTTACAGAAGGCGCACGGTGGTCAGGGGTCAGGCACTGACCCAGGAGGCCTGCGGCTGTGACCCCAGAATACGGCTGGGGGCTCCCCTCCCCACAGGGGTGCTGGGCCTCAACCCTGGGTGCAGTTCCTGCTCCGCGCTGCTCTCCCTGGACCCTGGCTGCTGGGGAGCCTGAGGGGCCTGAGGGAGGACCTGGGGGGCCCAGGGGACCTGTGTGGCTCCCCAGGACAAGAAAGGGTCTCTGCCAGCCCGCAGTGACCTCTGCTCTGCCACCACAGCTCACTGTGGGGAAACCGAGCAGACTGAGTGACCCCTGGAAGACTCCCGGAGCCCTGCCTGGGCTCCCCAGTCCCCGCACCGTCTCCAGCAGGTGGCTCTGCTCTGCGACCCGCCACCCAACACCACAGCCGAGGGTGTGGCTCGGTGGCCCAGCGCCTGCCCAGCACCGGAGACCATCCCACAAGAAAACCAAACCCACGGCCCGGGGACAGCCGGTGCTGAGCTGGGGACCCAGGGGATGGCGGAGCACAGTGGGCTCGAGGACCCCGAGGACAGATGCCATGAGAGACCACGAGGGACGGTGGCCCCAGGACGGGGGGGTGGTGCCGGGGGCACGGGGGCGGGACACTCACGCGGTCTCCTGCTCGTCCTCCTCCTGCTGCCGCCGGCGGCGCTCCTCCTCCGACAGGCGGTGCTGCCGCAGCATGGCCTCGAAGTCCACGTGCGCCTGGCGCTGGTTGAGGTCCTTCAGCTCCTGCAGGTTCTCCAGCACCTCCATCTCCAGCTTGGAGTCCTTGGTGCGGTTCTCCAGCACCTGCGGCACCCGGCGTCAAGGCCACGCCCGCCCGGCCTGGCCACCACCCTGGGCGCCCCTCCACGCAGGAGGTCCCCTCAGGTCCATGGGAACCCCGAGGTTCGGGGAGTGACCGCCAAAGCCGGCCCCAGAGAAGCCGGGTCCAGCCTGGCACCTTCCTTGAGGGCCGTGGGTACAGGACAACCGGCACCTGCTCCAGGGTCCGGGCCGAGGTTCCCAACCTCTCCAAAGCAGCCAGGCTCAGGGACTGGGCCACCCAGGGGACTTGGCGGCCAGCACAACCGGCGGGGGACGCTGCCTGGGTGCTGCTGGCCGTGTGGCCCGCCAGGCCTGCCCTGTGGAACTGCACCCGGGTGGCCGTAAAGAACACCCACACGTTTCCCCTGGGTCGTCCCCGGAGCAGGGGCAGAACAGCCTTACGCACGAGGACCCAGAGGCCCAGAGCGCACACATGGCTTCCCAAGGTCCCAGAGCGGGAGTTCCGGTCGTTACAGCCCTGGCCTGAGTGGCCTGACGGGCTCCGGGAAGCACCTGTCCTCTGCGGACCAGCTCCTGCCCCCTCTTCTCTCCTGCTGCGTAACTTGGGGCTCCGGCAGCACTGCCTCCTGGCCTCCTGGCTGGGGGTCAGGAGTGCCCTGGTCATCTCGTGGGCCTCCCTGGCTGCCCACAGGCTGCAGGCCCAGCCCCACTGCAGGGACTCCTCCGGGGTGAAGGCCCGGGGCCCCTTCCTCTTCTGGCTTTCCTGGCTCCCAGAGGCCACCTGCTTGCTTTCCCCCCTGGTGACCTCCGTGCTGCTCCGAGTTGTCCTGTCTAGACTCCATTAGAGGGGCGGGTGGCAGACCAAGTCCCCCTGGAGAGCCCCTGGGCGAGGACAGCTGTGCACAGTGACAGGCCCCAGGCCGAGGGAGGAGGCTCCTTCCCCACCACAGCCCAGGCCCCATGCGCAGGGCGTGGATCAGCAGGTGGCTCCGTCCACCACCCCGGCCCCGCCCCCGCGCAGCGCACCCACCTTCATGGGGTTGTTCAGCTCCTCGTCCTCCCTCTCCTTCTGCACCCGCTTCTCCTCCTCCTCCAGGAGTTTCTCCGCCTGGAAGTTCCGCGTGGCCCCGTGCTCCATGGTGTAGTCGGTGTTTTCAGGGTCTGTCTGGGAGGAGCAGGCAGGAGTCGGCGGCAGCCTGGGTGCCAGGGCACCAGGCAGGCAGACCAGGCTGCTCCCTGCTCACGGGCTTAACTCTTCCCCATCTGCTGCGCCCTCCCCTGACTCCGGCAAAGGCAAGGCCCTACTGAGGTGGATGGTACAAGGCGCCCATCCTCTGGAGGAGCGCAGCATGTTTCTGGGAACGGGCTGGTTTGTTTTTGTGTTCCTGTTGATAAGTATAGTTGCGACTTCTCATATGACCATTAAGGATGAAGGAAAAAATGTGACTTTCCCAATTAATGCAACTACTTCTAGAGAATAGATCTGTTTGCTCTAAACGCAAGGATTCAGCTGTGGAACGTAAACTGTTAACTGTAAACTGGCTGGGCAGGTGGCGGCGGGCGACGGCGGGACTTTTCAGGAAGGCAGTGCTGTGTGGATTCTGTTCTTAGTCCACGTCCACACGGGCATCAGTATAAAGGGTTAAGACAGGTGTCTTGTTATAAAGGGTTGAGGCCACAGTCTGTTGGTCTTTGAAAAACACATGCATGTTTATATTCATGACCTTCAGAATTCAGGTTAAAATCCATTTTTCTCTTTTTTAGTACCAGGGATTGACCCAGGGGTGCTTGACCACTGAGCCACATCCCCAGCCCTTTTTATTTTTGATTTTGAGATAGGGTCTTGCTAAGTCGCTCAGGACAGTGGAAGAACAGGAGTCCTCCTGAGTTGCTAAGTGCACCACTGTGCCTGGCTTAAAATGTATTAATTTTTTAAAAAAATTTATTTTTTAGTTGTAGTTGGACACAACACCTTTATTTCACTTATTTATTTTTATGTGGTGCTGAGGATCGAACCCAGGGTCTCGCACATGCCAGATGAGTGCTCTACCGCTGAGCCACAACCCCAGCCCCAAAACGTATAATTTCTAAAAATGTACTTTTTGTTCATTTAAGTAAAAAAAAAAAATTAATTGCAAAAAAACAAAACTTACAGCAGAAACACAAACAAACAAGAACAACAAAAAGAAACCACTGCCAAACCCTCAGACACTGCAGAGTATGGAAAACAGTGTCCAAGAGTGCCCCTCGGGGCTGGGGACACAGCTCAGTGGTGGAGCGCTCGTCTCGCATGCCCAAGGCCCTGGGTTCAATCCCCAACACCACAAAAAGTTCTCCTCATCCTGTCCCCATATCCTTAAGGTGATGACCAAAAGCAAAGTGTGTCTCTGCGGCCTGTGGAGGCCCCTCAGGTCCCCGATTCCACCTGGGCTGCCTCAGCTGCTCCGCGGTCCCCTCCCCAGGCCCTCCTGCTTCTGGGATGAACTGTAAAGGGGTTTCCCTGGGGGGGGGAGCAGGTGCGGTGGCCGGCCCTACCTTGAAAGTGATCTCGGCCAGGCAGCGCGTGCACTTGATGTAGAACCTGAAGATGGGCAGGCCCAGGTAGACCTCGTTCTGCACCGTCTCCTTGCGAGCATTGAACTTCTTGCCCTTGTAGATGTACTCTCCGCACGTCTTACACCTGGGAGCATGGGGACTCGCACTGTGGCAGACTGCCACCCCCACCTTGTGTGTGTGTGTGTGTGTGTGTGTGTGTGTGCAGCGAGCGCCTCAGAGGCGGGGCTCCCTCCCTCCGAGGCCCGGCCCCCCTGCCGCTCTCCTCGCCCCTGTAGCTGGACCTCTGACCACACGCTGCCTCCTTGGGGAGCACCCAGCCTGGGGAGGTCAGCCTGCCCGACCTTCCTGGAACAAGCCTGTGCTCAAAGACATCCAGGTCGCCAGGCAGAGGCTGACAGAGCTCCTGCCACCCTTCCACTACGGCCCTGGGCTCCCAGCCCCAGCACCCCCGCCTCCTTTTCTTCCTACAAGCACCTCCGTCTTGGTCCTACCTCAGGGCCTTTGCTTGCAGTTCCCACACCTGTGACACCTTCTTCCTCAGCCCTCAATTCCACTGGTGCTTCTTTTGACATTTCTCTGCTGACCCCAGTTAAGAGGCCCTCCCTCTCCTGCCTGATGAGCACGTCCACATGCGCCCTGTGCGCATCCACCCGATGACCTATCACCTCCACTTCCCGCAGACTGTGGGTCCCAGGGTTGTCCCCGGCACCTGTGTACACACTGGCGCTGACAAATGGGGCCTGATAAAGACTGCTGAAGGAGGGAGTGAGGGAACAGAGACAGAAAACGATCCAGTCCCTGACACGTGAAGACATTCTCCATCCCAGTGCCCCAAGGTGTCCTGACAGGTGTCCGGGATTCCAGGTACGCTGGAATGTGAACACTGTGCGACCCAGAGTTAACTAAATTTAGTAATTTGAAAGGGGGAGAAAGGGCAAGATCCGGGTGCTGTGGGAGGGTGATGGCTGAGCTGGTGGGTCACGGTGGGGTGAGGCCAGCCCACGACAGCTTCAGACAGACTGTGGCTCCTGCAAAGGCCCTGAGGCAGCAAAGGCCTGACTGATGGGGCCACTGAGCTGAAGGTGCAGCCCTCTGTGTCTTCACACCTGCACTAAGGGTGGACATGGCGGATTCCGCTAGGGCTCTAAGCGGTCAGGGAGTTGAACCTCGAAAGGGCAGGGCAGGGAGGCGCTGAGAGGCTGCGGGCTCACTGGGTTGATGTCTAAGCCTGGGCTGGGGACCTGGGCTGCACCCGGGGACGGGCCAGCTCTGTGGAGGTGGTCACCCTATCCATCTTCTGTGAATGGGGTGGCCCCGCAGGACACTCACCTCATGTTGAACGGGGCCATCAACCGCACTACGTACTGCCGGTCCTTGGGGAGCTTGAGTTTGGGGATCTTTGACGGGTCGAAGTCTGGAGGGTAGTATTTCTGTGGAGAGGAAGGAAGTGTCTTTCAGACATGGAGGCAGGCCATGGGCAGAGGTAAAGGGCCTGGGAACCTCGTCAGGGCAAGAGCATCCCAGGGCTGGGGACTGGAGGGCGTCCTCCCCGGAGGGCATCCCTCACTGCCAAGGTTTATCACACCAAAGGATTCCAAGAACCATCAGCCCACGTCCTGGAGGGGAGGTCAGGTGGGTGGTGCAGACAAGTTTCCAGAACCTTCTTCAAGCAGTCACAAGATGCATGGAATACCACGATGAGTTGGGACAATATGCACAAAATGAGTCTACCAGGGAATCTCCCAGACCCACGGCTGCCCCTTCTGCCCAGCGTGTGCCAAGATTCCAGGCTCCCACAAAAGCACCGGGGTTCAGCATCAACCACATTGTTGGCACAAACAGCACAGGTACCGAGAGCCACTGTCATCAGGGAACCATCCCGAAATTCAAGCTCCCAGACACCAGCCAAGAAAAAACTGGCAAGCAGCCTCTTCTTTCTTTTTGCCCTTGGTTTCCCCCCTTTCTGCAGTGTGGGGAACGGCTCCCAGGGCCTCACACATGCTAGGCAAGACCTCTACCACTGAGGTGCACACTCCCTCCCCTCGACTTTTTATTTTGACAGGATCTTACTGAGTTGCCCAGGCTGCCCTCTAACTTGCCTTCCTCCTGCCTCAGCCTCCCAAGTTGCTGGGATCATAGGCGTGCACCACTGAACATAGCTGAAAGCAAACTTTAAAGACAGCAGCCTCATGCCTGCCCTTGTAACTGCTTTCTGCACAGGAATGGAGCTGAGAAATAGGATAGCCAGTTTGGGTTACAAAAATAACTCCACTGCACTATCAGAAAATAAGGCGCTTCCTGTGAGCACCTAGTGAACCTCAAGAACCACAGAGTGCCCTGTCTCCCTCACCTCGAGGAACCCTAGCAAAGATTCTACCAGAGAGCAAAATGTGCCTATTTTACAGAGGAGGAAACTGAACCTTCCTTGCTTCATCTACTCAGAAATCAGATATTGTTGACATAACTCTGGAGAAAACTGGTGTCTTGAAGTGTAGGTACATGGACTAACAGACTTCTAATGTCCCCTCAACAGATAGGGGGGAACTGAGGACCTGGGGATAGTCCCCCACTTGCAGAGCCAATGTGGCAAAGCCTAACCCTTCCAAGGAACAGGATTGGCTAGAGCCACCAAGAGGGGCAGGGCTCTCGCCGAACGTGGTGGTGCAGAACAGTCTCCTCCCGCGGAAATCCCAGTCTAGCGAGGGGATTGGATGATGACTGCAAGCTCCGCCCCCAGAAGGCGAGGCTTCGCGAACGCCCACCACCCAAGGACGGCGATTGGGAGGGGTTTCGGAAGCCCCTCCCCGCGGAAGGCCGTTGAAGGGGGCGAAAAAGTTCCAAAAGGAAATTACAGGAAGTCCACCTCCCCCGGAGTCCCCCGGTGTCCCGCGCCAGATGGAAAGCCCTGGTTGCCGAATACTTACGTTTAAAACTTTGCGCTCCGACATCTTTGCCGCCTTCTCGTCTCGCTAGTCCCAGACAAGGGGTTAGATTCGTTATTTATGGAGCTTCTCTGATTATGCTTGCACTTCCGCTTACGTCACTTCCTTCGGCTTCTATTACTGACGGCAACCTACACAGCTTGCCTTTCTCATTGGCTCTGACTGCAGCCTATCAAGCTTCGAGTCCTCCTATCTTCCCTCCGGAGTTCCAACTTCGGTGGCGCGAAATAAAGGTTCTGGGGTCGGTGTAGGTCTGAGAAGTTGGAGGAGGTGCTGCGCCCTCCGGACGTCGGCAGCTGCTCTGCGGTTCTGTCCCGGCGCGGCGTGGCGGGCCGGGGACGCCGCCGTTCACTCTTTGACTCGGCAAAGTGTGTAGCGTGTGTTCGGCATCCCCGGCCGGGCGCCGGGCTCCGGCCGCGGCGCTCGTGCGGGGCCCGGTGGCTCCGCGTTCTGTGCGCTCCACGCCCGCGGCCCCCGCCCTGCGGACCCGGGTTCGGTCCCGGGGGAGTCGAGACGCGCAGGAGCAGGGTCGGCGCGGTTCTGGCCGCGGCGGGTCCATGCGAGGGCCCTCTGCGGCGGCCCCGGGTTTGGCCTCCGGGCCCTGTTCGCTGTGAGTCGCCGCCCGCCGCGGCGTGGACCGAGACCCCGCCACCGACCGCTGCCTGGCGCGGGGGAGCGACCCAGGGCGACATTGAAGCGTGGGAGGAGCGGCCTGCGTGGCCTTGGCGAGTGACCACTTGCTGCTGGTGGTGGAGCCGCGCAGGCGACCTCGTGGTCGGCGGGCCGGCGTGGAGGGGCAGGGCTGGTGCCCTCGGAGAGGCCGTGTGCCCGAATGCCCCCCCCCCCCCCCCCCCCCCGTTCCCGCTGCCACCGTGGCCTCTGCCTTAGAAGGGCCTTTGTGCAGCCACGTAATTCAGGGTAACTCCCCTTAATCTTCATTAATTTTTAAAAGATGTTTTTAGTTGTCAATGGACCTTAATTTTATTTACTTATATGTGGTGCTGAGAATCGGATCCAGGACCTCTCACCTGCCAGGCAAGCTCTCTGCCACCGAGCCACCGCCCAGCCCCTAAATGTCATCGACTTAATGAAAGATCTTTCATCTTAACCACACTTTTGAGTCCACGGCTGGTGTCAACCCAGAAGAACCAAAAGCACTTTCAAGTCCAAGGCTTTCTTGGTTGTGGCAGGGACCGTGTTCACAGGTCCAGAGATGAGGGCTAGGTGTCTGGAGCTCTACTCTGCCTGCCCGGGACTCGGCCTCCCCCGGTGGCACCAGGAGACCAAGACCCCGCCGCTTGGTGGCCAGGGTGTGAGGGGGAGGCTTTTAAGTTGAGATCCTGCGGAGGTCCATTGAAAATCCCACGCCCTTTCTCTGACCTTCAGGGCCTGGCTCCCTGTAGGCTCCTCAGGTTTACCCTTCCCTGGTGACTCCTGCTTCTGGGCAGCCTTAGGAGGGGAGTGGAACAAGCCCTGAACCACACGGATTCTGCCGAAGCATTCCAAGCAGAAGTCTGCCCCCCACCCCTTGATGTCCCCAGGCCCTGGTCTGTGTCCAGAGCTGGCCCCCTGGGCAGGGAGACTTGCTGTGTCTGTGCCCTTCTGCATTTTTCTCATCTCGGGTTCATCTCAAGGGCAGGGCCTGGGGCTGAGTCCTCTCTGGTTCTTACCTGAGTGAACGGAGGTGCTGAGATCTGGTGTGTGGGATGGATGGAGGCCTCCCCTCAGCAGTGGGTTGGGCATCCAGGGAGGGGGCTGAGCAGGGGAGAGTGTAGCCCTCAGCTCTCACCTCAAGCTCCCCTGCCTTTGCACCTCCGCCCTGGTATGACACAGAGGTGGCCCTCGCTGGGGGCCAGAGCCAGCCATGCCTACAGGCTTCCGGGCAGCCTCTATTCATTCTGCATAGGCGCCCAGCTCTGCCCCCGCCTGGGGGGTTCTGTTCTCTGAACACAGAATGGACGGAGACGGGCTTCTGTCAACAATTCTTCTAATTAAATTATCTAATAAAAATATGTGAGGTTCACAGTTCACAGAGCCCCGCGCTGTGGTGGGGAGAGGGCATGTCCCTGTTTCTCTGTGGGAAATGGAGGCTCAGGCAGGCAGTTACTCATCAAGGTCACCCTCTTCGGGCTGCAGTGGAGCCAGAGGTGTGCTCAGGCCAGGGGGATCCCATCCACCCTCTGGACAGTGGCAGGGAGGAGGTGTCCAAGGACCCAGTCCCTGTGGAGCCCCAGGAGGCTGCTACATGCCCAGGGTCATGGGGGGGGCAGCAGGGAGACTCCAGTCGCTCAGCTCCCCGTAGTCCGTGACGTCCTGGGCTGCCACCTGGATGCAGTACCTGGCCTGGGGCCGCACAGCTCTGAGGGTGAAGCTAGTGGCTTCGATGGGCCCCACCTGTGAGCAGAGAGGGTCGGTGGGAGGTGGGTGGGGCCTGTGCACAGAGCCCTCCTGCAGCTGCCAGCCCTGCCCCAGGACGCTGGTCCCCACGGCCTGTCCCTCACCACGCCCTGTGTGGCCCTGGTATGTTTGGGGCCTGGTTTGTGTGTGAAGTCTGTCCCCACTGTGGGGGTCTGATGCTAAGAGGTGAGGCTTTGGAAAGGGATCAGGATTGGAGGAGGTCCTCAGGGGAGCCCCGTGGTGTATCCCTGTGGTGCTGGTGTGTCCCTGGTGACTAAGAAGAGCCAGAGGCCAGAGGAGACAAGGGCTCCCTGGCTCTGGCCACGTGATGCCCTGCTGGAGCGTACGCCACCCCCAGGGCAGGCCTTCCTCCTTGGGCCGCCACAGGCCTCCCTTCTCTCCCTGCAGCCTCGGGTGCTTCTCAGTGCAACAGTCCAGCTCTTTCTGTTCTCACCGGCCCCTCCGTCCTCTCTGGGACCTAGAGCTGGGCCGCAGCAGTCCCCTGTGGACCCCGCGGGCCCTGTGCATGATGCAGCCATGAGTGCCCCCGTGCTGGGACCCCATCCCAACAGTCATCCTCCCTGGGCGCTGCCAGGGCTCCAGGTGCAGATGCCCACACTGGGTGCCCCTCATCTGCACGTGGACATGGGCTGTCCCGCCTTTGGCTGTGCGTGTCACTGCTGTGACCTTGGGCACCTTCCCACTTGTTGAGTCCCTGCTTTTGGTTCTGAGTTGACACCAGCCGTGGACTTGCTGGACAGCTCCACTTACAGCCTAGTGGCCCCAAGCTGAGTGCCAGGGCCCAGGTGCCCCCAGCCTCCCGTGCCCCCCTGGTCCTCACCTGGCGGAAGCGGGAGGCTCCCTGACGCCTGTATCGGATCCAGTACTTCAGAGAGAAGACCTCGGGGAAGGGCCAGGACCGAGGGGGCTCCCAGCGCACCTGCAGCTGCCGCCCAGGGAGGGGGCTCAGGCGCACGGCCTCCGGGGGGTCCGGTTTGACTGTGGAGCAGCAGGAGGGAGGGTCAGGACGCGGCTCCATTCAGTCATTCACCCACCCAACAATGTTCCCTGAGCGCCCACCATCGTGCCAGACAGAGGACGCAGTGGAGACCCACACTGGCCGCTGCTGGGCCCTGGAGCTCACGACGTCTGGAGGAGGGGAAACAGGTGCAGGTTGCGTGGGGCAGGACGGGAGTCGCTGTGTTTCTGTGTGAGTCACAGATCCTGCACTCTCCACTGAGGAGGAGGACTCTGGCGTCCCGGCTGTCACCAAGTTATGCAGCCCCCCAGCCCTGCACCACGGGGCCGTGTCCTGTCCCTGGACTCCCCTGTCCTGCACCTTCCCTTCCTCTGGAGCCATACTGGCCTGTGTGACTGTCACTGAGCACGAGGTCCTCAGGTCCATCCACACGGCAGGGCCCTTCTCCTTCCTCCTGCCCTGGCCAAGGACACTCTGGTGTGGATGGACCACTGTGCATCTGTCACCTGCAGGTGGCAGCTGGGCTGTTCCGCCTTGTCTCTGTGCCGTGGGCATTGATGGGGACCTTCCTGTGGCTGTGTTTCCACTTGCCCTGACACCCAAGAGTGGACTTGTGGGGTCTTGGGGTGGCTCCTGGTTGGACTCTGCCAAACTGTTTTACTAAACTCCACCAATTTCTAATATTAAGGGTTGAAAACATTTTTGCTTGATACGGGGACCTGCTGGGTTGCTGGACTGGCCTGAAAGTTGTGATCTGCCTGCCTCATCCTCCCCAGTCACTGGAATGATGGCAGGTGCCGCCTACAGTTTGTACATTTTTACCAACATACTTGAGAGGCTTCACTTGGGGTGACATCTGAGCAGAGACCTGAGGGAAGTGAAAGGAGTGGGGACAGAGAACATCTGGGGGAAGGTGCTCCAGGCACAGAAAGGCCCTGAGGCAGGTCAAGACTGGGGGGTGAGGAGCCTGGGTACCTGGAGCAGAGGGGAGGGAAGAGAGGAGGAGGGAGGCAGGGAGTGGACGGGCCCTGAGGGTCGCAGGGAGGACTTCGGCTTTGACCCGAGGGAGGTGGGAGCCCCGCAGGGCTCTGGGTGAGGAACCAGAGGCCGACGCAGGTGTTCAGGGCGCCCCCTGGTGGCTGCTGCGGGGATGACGGGCCATGGGGGCGAGGGTGGATCCAGGGGCCGGTTGGGGGGGGGGAGGCAGGAGGGCGCCCCCGGCCCCGCCCGCACTTACTGACGTGCTCCGCCACGAAGGGCGCGAAGCCGCTGCTGGCGCCCCCGGGGTGCACGGCCGTGACGTTGAGCACGTAGGGCGACAGGGAGAACAGCTGGACGTCGGGGATGGTGCAGCCGGTGGCCTCGGGGGTCGGCTGGAGGCAGGGCCGGCTCTGCCCCTGGGCGGCCACACCGAGCCTGGACGCGGGCGGCAGCAGGTCTCAGCGTTTTCCCGGCCTCCCACCCCAGGACCCCAACGAGGGGGAGCAGGGCAGCCCTGGTCGGGTCCCGCCCTCGCTGGCTGTGTGACCCGGTGTCACAGCGCAGGGGGACCCAGAGTGTCTAACACAGCCCCGGGAGGCACCAGGGTGCTGGGTTCTAAAGAGTCCAGCGTGTGAATCCCGACATCGGGCAGGTCAGCGGGCTCCCAGCCCGGGGACCCGGAGGTTCGCAGAGCCTTCGGATTCGGGGACCCAGGATGTGGCTGCTGGAACCTTGAGCTGGCTCCGCGCCGGGGCTCCTGCAGCATCGGCTGAACCCGGGGCCTCCCTCGGGCCAGGGAGGGAGCTGAACCCGCGGCCTCACTCGGGCTGGGCAAGCACCAGCCTCGGAGCCACACCCACCCCTTTTTATTTTGAGACAGGGTCGCCCTGAGTTGCCTAGGCTGGCTTTGAACTTGTGAACCTCCCCCTCAGCCTCCCGGATAACTGGGATGACGGGCGTGTGCCACTCTGCCTGGCTGTTTATATTGGTTTTACGCAGCGTCTAGAAGGTTCCAAGTGCACGGTGGCCTGTGGTGTGCGCTGTGGGCCCTCCTATGGTTTCTACTGGATGGGGCTGCGCTGGAATTCCAAAGGCTGGGATGTGAGGGTCTCCAAGGGCTCTCACAGCCAAAGGCTGGCCCCTCCCCAAGTCCTCTGTCCCCTAGAGGTCCCTTCTAGTCCCTCTGACCTGTATGTGGCAATGAAGGTTGTGGCTGTGGTGTAGTTGGGAGCTGGTGGCAGGGTCCAGGAGCAGTCCACGGCCACCGGGTACCTAGAGGCACGGCACTGCACCCGAGGCTGGCTTGAAGACACTGGGGCCACCAGAGGAAGAGAGGAGGGTGAGCTTCCTGTACACCAGAGTGGTCACAGCCCTGGGCTCACGCACCATATCACCAGGCACACCGGGCACACAGTAGGTGCCCCATGAAGGAATGTGGAGAATGGGTACAGGGGTGACGGGTACCTGCCCCATCAGCCGCCCCACACACCGACGCAAGGCGGGCCCACCAGCCTATTTGCAGATGGGGAGGCTGAGGGTGAAGGACAGGAGGCTCCCTGTCCACATGTGGGCACGCTGCTCGGAGTGGACGCAGGCAGTTCCACTTCTACCTATGGTGGCCCCTTAGTTTGTGCACAGGATGGTACCGGGGCCCAAGATGCCCCTGGTAGGAAGTATCCGACCTGCCCTGTCCTGCAGACCTCAAGCCAACTCCAGGTGACTCAGGAGACCCACCCTGTCACCGTCACATGGCGGTGGCTGTGCTCTTTAGGGGAAGGTGGGCGTGCCCAGGACAGCCACAACTCTCTTCCTCATGTTTTTGATCTGCGGTGGTTGTAACCCGTGGGTGTGGGACGCGAGGACAGGGACGCGGACTATCGAAGCTGCAGGCTGTGGCCGCCCCTTCCTGGCTGGCACCTGGGGATGGGTTTGACCCCTGGCTTTCTGTTTCGCTGTCCGTTCACTGTGAGGGTGACCCTGCCCCACAGCAGGCGTGTGGCCAGCCTGCGAGTGCCCAGCCTGCTCCGAGAGCCAAGGCTGAGGCGCAGCCCCTGCCCGCCCGACCCCCGGGGCCCTGCGTACCTGCCCTTCCCCCGCAGGATGAGCCCCCTGCCCAGAGGGCCAGGGCCAGCAGGAGGCTCAGGGTCATGGCTTCGATGACTGCGCTCTCAGGGTCTGGCGAGGGGACTGCTGAGCTTGGCTAAAGGCAGGGCACTGGGGACCCGTGGGGAAAGCCCCACCCGCCACCGAGCCTCCCTCCCGGGCTGACTCACTGGCCGGTTTGGGGGCCAGTGGAGAGATGAGCAAGGGCTGCGGAGTCCCCAGCCCCCCCACTGGCCACCGAGGGTGCAGGCTGCAGAGAGCCTGGGGGTGGGGGCAGGGAAGGGGGACCGCAAAAGGGAGAAGTGACCCGGTGGCCTTTCCCAGCACAGCGGGCTGGGCTCCGGCCCTCCTTCCCTTCCTTCCGGCTGCAGCAGGAAGCAGGGTGGGGGGGTCCCCGGGGAGGAGGACGAAGACACCCAGAAAGCAGACAGACAGACAGTTGTGGAGAGTGAGAGGTGGACAGGAAGAGGCTGAGCGGAGCGGAGATGGAGAGAGACCCGAGAGAAGGACTCAGGATGGAGACTGAGGGACAGACGGGGAGATGGAGAAGTGACAGAGAGGGCCAGGGGGAGGAGAGGTGCAGGGGGATGAGACAGAGCTGCAGGGCACATGTGCTCCCCTCAGAGCCGGTGGCCCACTCCCCGGGCCAGGGATGGCCCCCCAGCCACAGCAACCCAGGAGGCCAGGCATTGGAGAACAGCACCCCCACATTCTCCATGCTGCTGGGGTGTCCAGGGTCAGCTGAGATCATCCTGTACTGGTGCCTGCCCAGGTCACCCAAGGAAACCCCCAGGACAGGCTGGACAGCACCAGGAAATTCCCAGTCACACCCCTGCCTCCTCCCCCTTAGCTAAAAAGTGCCAAGAGCCCTCGGGGATTTCAGGGGATTTGCCAGAGGGACAGGGACAGGCTGGGGTCAGCTCCCCACCCACCCCTGAAAGTGAGATTTGTGAAGAAATGTGGCCAGGTGCGGTGACGCACACCTGTCATCCCAGCAGCTCAGGAGCCTGCAGCCGGAAGATGGCCACTTGAGGCCAGGCTGGGCAATGCAGTGAGACCCTGTCTCCAAATGAAAAGGGCAGGGGTGGCGCTCAGTGGTAGAGCTCTTGTGTGGCATGGGCCAGGCCCTGGGCTCAGTCCCAGTACAGGAAAAATAGAAGAAACTCCGAGTCTGGAGGTGTGCTCAGGGGACAAGAAAGAAAGAAAAGTGCAGTCCTTCACATTTAGGTCTTTGTTCATTGTTGGGTTTTATTCCTTTTTTGGGGGGCGGGGGGAGTGGAGGAGGTACCAGGGGCCCTCGACCCCTGGGCTAAATCCCCAGCCCTATTTTGCATTTTATTTAGAGACAGGGTCTCAGTGAGTTGCTTAGAGCCTTGCTAAGTTGCTGAGGCTGCCTTTGAACTCACGATCCTCCTGCCTCAGCCTCCCAAGCCACTGGGGTTACAGGTGTGCACCTCCCTGCCCGGTTTCTTCAATTTTTTATTTTTTGTACTGGGGATTGAACCCAGAGGTGTGTTATCTCTGAGCCACATCCCTGGCCCTATTTTTTTTAATATTTATTTATTTTTCAGGTGTAGATGGACACAACACAATGCCTTTATTTTTATGTGGTGCTGAGGATGGAACCCGGTTCCCGCCTGTGCTTGGCGAGCGTCTACTGCTGAGCCACGATCCCAGCCCCCCCCAGCCCTATTTTTTATTCAGAGACAGGGTCTCACTGAGTAGCTGAGGCTGGCCAGGACCTGCGATCCTCCTGCCTCAGCCTCCCGAGCCGCTGGATTTTCAGGTGTGGCTTTCCAGGGCTGAGTGGAACCCGGGGCCTTGCCTGCTGGACAAGGCCCGGCCAGCGAGCTGCACCGCAGCCGACTTTTCTGCACCCATTCTCATTTTAAAACATATTGCTGTGGTGGTTTTATCCCGATGGCTGAGTTTGGGCGGGGCTCCTGTCCTGGGCCGCCCCTCCCTGCCCTGCCGCAGGCACCCAGCAGGACCAGTCAGTCAGTCAGTCAGGCCACGTGTGCATTTGTCTGTGCAGAGATCTTTTATTCCTGGATTGGTGTCTTCGGGTCGGGACCTGGGCAGGACATACGCAGCTGCCCCGTGGGGAGGGCAGGCACACCTGACCAACCACAGTGTGCGGGGACAGCTGCAGAGATGGGGCCACTTAGGGGACCCAGGCTGGTGTCCACGTGTCCAATCCCAGCCGCCTGTGGGGCAGCGGCTGGCCGGGGGCCTGGGGTTCTGAGCCGGGCTGCGCAGCCCCCTGCTGGCCTCAGCGGCCCTGGGCCTGGAGCCTTTGCATCTGCAAGATCTGACTGAGAATCCGCTGCACGTCCTCGTCCATCTGGCCCTGGAAGCCGTGGGGGGCAGAGAGAGACCCTGGGGCCACCTGCCCAGCCTCTGTGTTCCCACACACCCCCAGAAGGAAAGTGGAGGCCAGAGGGCAGCAGAGGCCCGACCAGAGCCGGGGTGTGGGGGGGTGGCGGAGATGCAGCTGGAGCGGTGACTCACCTGGATGGCGTACAGGAGGTGGCTCCTATACAGCGCCACCACAGCACAGTGGTCACGGGCAGCCTCCTGTGGGCACGGGGCAAGTGCTCAGAGGGGCAGCCCCCAGGCACCTCCCGCCTGCTTCACTGAGTCTGTTGCTCGCCCCAGGGTGGCCCCGACGGCTGGACCCTGGGAATTCCTGCCCAGGCACCTGCCCTCCTGCCCCGGGGCTGCCCAGGACTGTGCAGTGCGCCTGCGCAGTCCGCCCCTGGCCAGCGCCATCCTCACCTCCATCTGCCGCTGCAGGGCCTTCACCTGGCCTCGGAGGGCCTCCACCTCCACCTCCACCCGGGGCGCGGCTGGGGCGGCCGGCTGCTCCTTCAGGGCCTCCTTAAGGCTGAAGACTTCCTTGGACAGCTCTGTGATCTGGGGGTGGGGTGTCGTCAGCCGGCTTCCCCAGGCCCGCACCCCACAGAACAGACCACACTTTACACGTGGGGGGGGAAGGCCCAAATGACGTGTTTTGTGACATGAAGATTCCATCAGATTCACATTTGAGATTTGTGAACGGCTTCATCTGCACACGACCGAGCCCACCAGTCGGGCTGTGTCCCCTGGACA